GTATCTGACATGCACCTCAGTGGTCAGCATGAAATGAACGTTAATTGCTTCTTGGTCTGTTGGCTAAGATCAAGTGTAAAATGAACATTAGAGGACTAAAGTGAGTTAGAAACATAATAGCAGTGTGATTTTGTTTGTGAAACTGTTCTCCCAAGAAAACTTATACTTCCTGTGTCAAACAATGACGAAAACACCAAGCAGTGTCATCCCATTAAACTGCTCTGTAGGGCATCTTTTTCCATCCTGCATGCAGGTCTGGGCAGGCGCCAGTGTCTTCCCGGATCTCTTAGTTACCAGAAGACTCTCACTTCAATGGTCAGAACACACAGTCCAATGTATTGCTTAACACTTCAGTTCAGTCGAAATAAGATGTGTGACCCTGCTCTCGCTTGGCTGGTCCCAAGCCAGGGAGCCTGCACAGAAGGCCTCCTCCATTCTCTCCACCACTTCCTCCACTTATTTGCTGTGGCCCAGGTCCACAGGAAAAAGTGGAATCTGGTAGTGCCTGGTCTTGACTCCCTCCGGATGTGGCAGAAGGACAATGCTGGCCTGCCTCTATGGAGTACTTTGATGAACTCTTTGCTGGGCACTTAAAGTCAGCTCCCGGACACAGACAATGTCTGTCCTTCTGTTAGTCACTTTCAACTCAGCCCAGATCCTAGGCTGCTAGCAAACCAATTCAGCCAGACCCTCTCAATGGGGGTCACCCCCACCCCCAGGCAGTTCTCTTGGACGCAGACTGGGATTCCCCATGGCTCACCCTGTCTCACAGTGTGAGGTGTGGTCCCAGTGCATCCATCTCTCTTCACTTTGCCTTGGAGAGTGTCTTGAACCTTTGCATAGGACAGGCTGGCCAGGTGGCTTCCTCGAAGCATCTTTCCTATGGCTTGACATGAGGGAGAAGCATCTCTTCCCCTTCTCCAAGGAGACAGGATCTGACACTGACAACTGTCTCTGGAAACCATCCTCTCCTATCTCAACTTCCTATGGTGAGTGATCACAACATCTGGCCAGATTGATTTCAAGAGCTCTTTGCTTATCCAGCTTAGGTGGCCTGGAGACTCCTTTAAAGACATATAGGCTTTTGCCATTCACTGTACCTTCTCCCAAGCCTTTGGTTCTTTGCCAGAAAATATGAGATAATCAGAAGAATCTGATGGAACAACCTGTTGCACAAGTAGTTACAGTAAGTGCAGTGGCCTTTCCTGTGACCAGAAGCTCCCTGAGATCAAAGACCACATGGCTCTTGCTCTCATTCACCTCGGTTCTCAATTCTTGTTGGAGGTGCTCAGTTCTTACGAGCAGATGAAGGAAGTGAGAAAACAAAAAAGAAGTAGCAACGTTCCCTCCATAAAAATGCTTTGGGACAGAGTTTTTATGTAAATAGGTCAATTTCGTCTGATCTCATGCTTTTTAACATTCCCTGAAGCCCATGATGTGGACTGGTGGGCAAATGTGTGATTGTTTCCTTGTCAGCCACTTGTCTTTCAGACAGTATCCAGAGTCTGGAGAAGCCATTTGTAACCTGCAGTCACAGTTACAGGCTCCTCTATCAATGCTGTGCCATGTCTGTCAAATTCCTCAGAGTGGACAGAGTATTTCTTCAGAATAGTTGATCAAAGTGCACCCAAAGTGCTATAGCTGACACATAGTAGGCCTCTGATGTCACAATAGCCCAGGTCTCAATCAATTGTTGCCAGTCTTGAAGTCCCTCACCTGTCTCCCTGTGCACAGAGGAGGACAAAGGCAATCATGGGAGCATCTGACTTCAAAGTCTGCAGCTCTGATACCTGCAGAGACCTGGGAATTGTGCAAATGACACACAAGGCCTCCCAGCGGGAGAAAGGTGTATGCTCGCCTCATGAAAACACTTCTCTCTGGAGTTTGTTTATATAGGGCCTTGCTTTCAGGTCCATTAGTGATTACAGTCTGTGTCTTAGAAACTAAAGGTTAGCAAATGACCTCCTGGAGAGAATGAATAACAGTAACATTAAAATGTAAACTCAATTTGACAGATGTTTACCAGACATCTGCCACATGCCCAGCATTGCAGAACTAGGAAGAAGGAGACACAAAGATACAAGGGTAGTTAACAGGCTGGGCTGCAGGGAGGTGAAAGTGCATTTCTTCCTCTTTAATCACACATGTCCATCCATATTGTAGTCTAAGCTTAATTCAACATGGCCTTTAATTCTCATCCCGTCCCTGGGGGAAGTAAAGCAGAGCTCATTATTCTCATTTTCAGAAGAGGAAATGAACACCTAGAGAGGCCAAGAGGGCGCTCAGGGCTCCACAAGGGAGATGGAGGCAAAGCTGGAGTAAGAAAACAGGAACCCTCAAGTCCAGGCTGCTTCTCTTGTGGATCTAGACAAGGCACATGGGAAAAACCCAGACTGGGCTTTGCTTTCAACATGGCAACAAATGAGAGTGAAGGAATAACAAAACAAGGAAAAACTAGGCTGGAATGTATTAACAAATGAGAATTTTTAGAATCAGAAGGAAAAAGAAAGAAAGAAATATTCTAGTTTTACCAAATACTAAAGAATAAAAGGAAAGGCTGGAAGACTTCAAGAGAAGAAATGATTCTCTAACACCACCTGGTAGAGACCTCTAGATAAACTGAAACAAGGGTACTACGATGAGTTTCTGTCTTTCTCTAAGCACCACAGGATCAGCTTGTTTAGAATCTGGGAAGTCAAGGGCCACACCCACACTGGCTTGGGCAGTGTCCACAGACAGTGAGAGGAGACAATGGGCACACTGTGTGGCCTTGACCTCCATGAACTAAGAGTGGTTCATGTTTACCACGCCCTCACTCATAGCCCACCTCGACTCATCCAAACGCCCACGTAAAGTCCCAATGACTACCCAGCCACCAGAAATGGCTCAGTAAAGGAAAGGAAAGGAAGGAAGCCTGGACACTCAAGTCAGTGGAAAATGCCCTAAAGCCTGGTTGACATGCAGAATGTAGCAGAAATGTCCTGCACACGATGTCACACACTTGGACAGAAAGGATGGCTAAAAACTCCTGAGATGAGGAAGGTGACAGGATTACACATGATGAGGTCACACAGGGTCATGGAAAACAACCACAGATGAAGTCCACTCATATCCTCTGGGAAGGAACAAAAAGTCAAATGGGTTCACGGTGGGACCTCCCTTTGACCCCTTAGTGATCTAGAGAGCAGGGTCCATATTTTATCCAATGGTCATGTTAGAGGAAAAGACTGAACACCTGAGCAATTTACAACTCTGACACAATGGTGTTCACACGACTGCTGTTGTGGCAGTGTAGCCCCCTACCTGGAACTGGAAGTGCCTGCCCATGCAAGCACAGCTGGAGTCACTTAGGCCACAAACACTGCAGAACATCAAACCAGAAGACTATAAAACTCTTTATTGTCAGACAATCCCTCTCCATCTAGTGTTGCTGGCTATGTGGTTCTTTTCTAGCTACTATAAAAGTTATTTGGGAATCGTGATGGATTCCTATTTGAGGTAATTCGAAAAATAGGGCAGAGGAGAATGAGAAAAGGGAAGCAAGGCTAGAGTGTTCCTGAGAGATTTGGAAGAGAGGAGGGGGGTGAGGCCAGGTTCATCTAGGCCCTGACCCCCACTGCTGACCAGCTGCTTTGGTAAGAATTTATGGTTGACCAAGCTTAGGTCCAGGAAGAGAAACTGCTCAGCTTTGTCTAGTAAGGCTACTTTGCATCCCAGAAACCATTGTGGGCCCCAGAGATTAGATGACAAGACCCTGAGCCAAAAAAATAGAGGAATGAATAACAGTCAGAAAAGGGGAAAACCTATCGAGGTTTACCTGCAATGAGGCCACATGGGTTTATTAGCAGTTTATCAAGATACTATATATTTTCAATGAGCTGAGGATGGTTCTTGGAATTTTAGACATACAGGGCCTATTTTTATTTATATATAATGTATAAGATGGAATTTTTACATCTTTTATTTAGAATTCTATCTTTATTGCTTTTATTTTAAAGACTTTTTGTCAGCTTACTGTTGGTGAAGCCCAAATTCCACTTTTATCAATAAGTTCTGTTTCCACGGGGATTTCAGAAGTGTGGTTCACGTGGTGACCCTACCAGATGGGCTGTCACTACCAAGGATCATGCAGCAGACCATGACAACCTCTGAGAATATAATAAACACAGACCCAGCAACTCTGTACCCTTTCCTCTTATGGTGTCATTCTCATTAGCTAACTCATATTTTATATGTGCTATACATTCTGTACATTCTGGTCTGAGCCAAGAAGGACCCCATTCTCTCTCTCTCTCTCTCTTTCCTTGTAGGGTGTCAGCCAGACTTTCATTCATGAGTACCTGACAGTGGGTAAGGAAAGCACTATGTATGCCCCCAGCCAAAAAGGTAAAGAGGCATGACCTTAGTTTACAAAATGGCATAAATTCTACAAACTTGCACTGAAAATGCATAAATAGATAACAAGTGGGTGTCTTGTCAGTGTGACACAATTTAAAAACAGAGTACTAGGAACCCAAACATTATAGGACATGAGGCAAAATATCTCCTGAATCAGGCCAAGAAAACGCTTCTTGACCAGATACCAGGTGTGTTGTTTACCTCTAGAGGCACCTATGGTTACAGGGGTGCCACCACAGCTGGGGACCTCTACAGCACAACTTTACTTACAGAGAAGGCCCTGAAAAGGTGTCCCCAAGGTGGCACAGTACAATGGCCCTGCCATGGCTGCCACATGGTAGATGGTATTTTCCAGCAGATGAGGGAAGGGCAGCCCTGGTTCACCCTGTCAGTCATGTCATTTATGGATGTGAGACAGCAGAGGTTGATATTTGTGACTGCTCTGACCCACGTCTATCCTATTTCTTCCTTTCCTCGCTTCCAATCCCAACGTTTCAAACTCTAATGGCAAAGAATTGGGACATGTCTTACATGTGTAATGACTTTAAAAGTTCATTTAAATGTAAAGCCTTTGAAAATAATTACCGAAGCTCCCGAATTACCTGTGCGTGCTTTGAGACCCAGTGACGGAGGACATTCAGGACTCGATTGGTAGCTGTTCTTCGGATGATAAACTCTTTGTCACATGTCTCTCTGTGTTGTTAAATCCTTAGTAGGAAAAGGAACAAGTTGTAGTTAAAGCCAATCCCCAAGGACCTGGAAAAGGTCACTTATTTTAGGACATTGTTAATGAAACTCATAAATGATCTGTCTTGGCAGAGAGGTGCAAGTGGCTTCAGACTTGTGAATTCTGCTTACTTATTATACTGTCATTGTGAGGCCACCACCTGCTTACAGGTGCAATTACGTGACTAATGTGCACATATTTATTAAAGGCCACTGATGAAAGCTAGTGTGGCACTAATGAGATTTCCATTTATGCCTGTCATGTTCTACAACACAAAGCTAAGGAGGATTAACAAAGTGTTTGAGCCAGCATTAATTTATACTTTTGCCCCAAAGCGATTATATAACACTGAATATTTAGAGGTAGATGAGCTATATCATGACTTGTAGATGATACAATTACTAAAAGAATTACTAACTGTTTTTGCCATAAAATATTATAAGTATGTAAGGTGATATATTTGTTGACTGCTTCAACTTAGTCATTCCACAATGTAAACATAAGGCAAAACATCACACTGTACTCCATAAATATGTTAACAGATGCAATTAGCACTTATCAATTAAAAATAAAATATTTGAAAAAAACAAGACTGGTTGGGTTCAAATCACTGTTTTCCCACCCTAGAAAATTACATCATTTCTCTGGTGACCTCACATTTGACCATAAATGTACCTACATCACAAGAGTTGTTGTGGAATTATGTTTGCTAGTACTGGTTGAGTTTTTAGAGTGGTACCTGGAACAGAATGAGAGCTCAATAAATGTTAACTATTATTCAATTCAATATTGGTCTAGCATTTATTTTTTTCTGGTGCTGGGAATAGAAACCCAGGGCCTCTAATATGCCAGCCAAATGCTCTACCACCAAGCTACACCCTCAGCCCTGGTCCAGTGTCTTTGATTCCATTCTGTGCCAGCTTATGTCTCTATGTTGGGCACCTTTTCACAATCAAGAAACCATTTCAATCCTTTCCCATGGATTCTGTTTTAAAAGATTCTGCCATGTAATCATAATTAAATTATTTATTTACTTTAAAAATTAATACTTCTTGGGCAGGGGATATAATTCAGCAGTAGAGCTAAGGAAATTATGTGTGGGGCCCTATGTTCAATCTCCAAGATGACAGCGTAGTAATAATAATAATAATACTTCTTGGAAGAGTTGTCTACTCATTGATCCCATTTCTTCATCTACCACTCTCTCATATCCTACTCCAAGCTTCTCACACCCTCTCACCACCAAGACAGCCTTGTTAAGGTCATCAATAACCTCCATGTTCCTATAACCAAGGGATAGTCTATAATCTCTCCCTTGGGAATCTCATCTCTATCTACCACTTAAATAATCACATATAAGTAAATTACTCACATATCTATAGTCCCAGAGCTCTTCTCTGAGTTCCAGACCCATATATCCAATCTCTCTTAATATTTTCCTCTTAGATAGTCAAAACACACCTCCAGCTAAATATATTCAAAAGGAAGATCTATGGCCTTTCTACCAAACTGTGTTCTCACCTCGAGTTCTCTCTCCCAGTAAAGAATCATCATCCTTCAGGTATGCAAACCTGGACTGGAAACTTTGGAATTATTCTTGTCCTACCTCTCTGCTGTTTCCTAACAATTTACCTGTTAACAAATTCTCAAATCTGTTCATGTCTTCCTATCTGCAAAGCCAAAATCAGAGTTAAGCTACCAGCAACCCTCATATGGTCCACTCAACTAGTCTTCAATACCACTCCAGCTTCTGCAGATCTCAAATGACTAGGGCCAGAAAGATCTTTTCAAAGGGCAAATAGGATGGATCATTCTAATGTTTAAGGTTTTTCAATGGTTTTTATAATAAATACAAAACTCCTTAATACAGACTACAAGACTGTTATGGCTTTAATACAAAATATTCCCCCAGACTCATGGTGGCAATATGTTGGAAGGTTCTGGAAATTTTAGGGAGTGGGGCCCAATTGGAAGAAATAGGTCACTGGGGTGTATCTTTGAAGGTTATACCGGCTCCCCAGTCTCTTCCTTGCTGTCTGGTTCTCATTGGTCATGAGGTGAAGCCTCCTCCTCCACACGCTCCTGCCACCACAATGATTTGCCTCACCATGGTCCCAGAACCAATGGAATCAAAGAACTATGGACCGAAACCCCTGAGACTGTGAGCCAACATATATCCTTCCTCCCTCAGGTTGTTGCTGTCAGTATTTTGTCACAGTGACAAGAAAAATAGCTAGTACAAAAGTCCTTCATGATTTGGTCCTAGCTTCTCTCAGCCTTTTCTTCTAGTTCTCTTCTTCTATCATATTCTTATGTTTTTCTCTTCCATCTGTCCACCCTTCCTTTAGTCTTTCATGACCCTCAGGACTTCACACATACTGTATTACACCTGGAACTATTATTTTGCCCCTTTTTTAGTCAGTGAAAGCCACTTATTCTTGCTTTTTCTTTTGCTTCCCAGATGGGTATTTTCTGGCCTTAACTGGACAGATTTCTCATCGCACATCTCATAACATACTACACATTTGCTTTATGGCACATATTGGGCTTGAAATTTTACTCTTACATATGTGATCATCAATATTTTCATCTTCCATGAAGACAGGGATCTACTATATTTTACTGAGTCTGAGAACCTATATGGGATATGGCATAGAGCAGAGGTCATTCATGGTATAGAAGACAGATGAATGGATAGATAGACAGATAGATATTTAAATGAATGAATGAAAGCCTGGAGAGTAGAAACTTGATGTGCACACAGGATGATTATGCAGATGACTGAAAGAATAGTCCTTAGAGTTTCTGAGTGAGTTAGATAAGAAAACCTATAAACTCCTACAGGGCAGAGTTCCCCTCTCCTCCCTCTTCTTTAAATGTAGACAGGCATCTTCCACCCACCATCAGACATTTAAATTCTGTCAGAAGATGGTGATGATATGCTCTTGGCAGACTCAATATATTGAAAAAATCTTTACTGAAAATTTAGAAATTCTGCATAAAATGTAACAAATATTGTTCTAAATGGATAGCTGAGTTCACAAGAAAGTAAGGACTTCTCCAAGGTCAAACACACAGAGCAATCTGAAAACCAGAACCAAGCCAAGCCTCAGAATGGATGCTGGCTGCCCAGTGAGGGGTTGAGGGAGTTAGCAATTTACTAGTCATGGTCACATAATCCAGGGGAAGGAGTTCCAGAACTTTCATGAAGAGTGGGTGGCAGGATGGGACCTGAGACTCCCATGTAAAGCTGACCTCTCAAAGGACCACTCTCTGTGAAAGACAGTACTAGGGGAAAATCTTATTTGCAAAGGAAAAACTTGTCTGGAGATGAGCATGGTGGTTCCATACCTATAATCCCAGATACTTGGGAGGCAGAGATAGGAGGACTGTGGTTTGAGGCTTGCTCTTAGACTTTTTGAGATCCTATCTCAAAAAAAAAAATTTGGGTGCAGTGATACTTAACTACAGTTGCAGCTACTCTGAAAGTGGAGGCAAAGAGGATTGTGGTTCAAGGCTGACTTGGGCAAAAGTGTGAGACTGTCTGAAAACTGAACTAAAACAAAACAGGCTGGAGGCATAAGTAAAATGGGAGAGGGCCTAAAAAGTTTAAGGCCCTGAATTCAAACCTCAGTATGAAAGAGGAAGAAGACAGAGAGAGAGGAGAGAGAGACGAAGAGAGGGAAGAGAAGGAAGGAAGGAAGGAAGGAAAGGAAGAAAAAAAAAGGCAAGAAACTTGTCTGGAGTTGGGCTGCAGCTCACTGGTAGAGTGCTCACCTAGTGTGTGCATTGCTTGCCTCAACCTGGATCTCAATGAGGGCTGAAGACAAAAACCCTCCTAAAAACTGATAAACTCAGGCCCGCCTCCTGTAGGACTGAAGCTGAGATTGAGTCACTGCTGTGTGCTCTGCCCCTCCACAGGAGAGGTTAAAATAAAGGTGGCCTAGCTAGTGACAGCTCTGGGGACACGGACTTTAGTACTCAAAATACTGCTCTGGAGGAACACACACTGAGCCAACTGAGCCCCCTAAAAAAACCTCACAATCCAAAAATCAGAAAACATACAAACCAGCCACCATGAGCAGAGGTCAGCAGCCACAGGGACCAGGAACCACCCTCCCCAGGTCATGCCTTCAACCCACCAGGTACTTCAAAGGCTAGAGCTAGTACAGAGCCTCAGCTTAAACATCCTAACGTCAGGCCATTTACAAAGACCAAAAACATACAAGAGGGAATTGAAGACACAAAAGAATAAAAAGCACTTTAAGAGATTTTTCAAGAACCACATAAAACTTCTTAATTGCTATCAGCAGTGAGTAAGAGAATGGAAATAAGATTATTCTTTCAATATTCTTGCAGATAAGTAAAGACAGACTAGACACAGATACATGAAGAAAGACTAAACAGGTTTGAAAAAGGCATCTGAGAAAATTATCCCCAAATAAAGTATAGAGAGCTAGAGATGGAAATCAGAAAAGAGGAGGAAAAGATATTTCCCCCTGTATATTAAAAAATAAAGAGGAAAGAATTAGAATTCCCAGCTTGCATCTAGCAAGATTGTCAGAAGACTTTTTAAAGGAAGAAAAACAAAGAAGCAATGTAGGAAAAGACTTTTCAAGACTTGATGAAAGACATGGCTCTTCAAGTCCAAAAATATCTATGAATCCCAAGCAAGAAAATCAAATGAAAACCACACCAAGACCAAGTAAAATGGTGGTACTGCAAGCAAAGACAGCTCAAAGCAAACAGTGGGCACGTGTAATTATCTCTAATGGAGAAGCAAATGAGGGGACGGAAAATGGAGAAAGCACTGCGTGAGAAGGATTAATCTGCGTAGAGCAGAGGCCTTGACTGGAGTGAGAACAAGTAAGGAGAAGACAGGACTTTGCTGAAGGATGAAAGTTAGAAGTTAGTGAAACACTGAAGAAAGTGGATGGGGAAGAGCTCTCCCCCATCCCATATATATAAATCTAAAGGTAGC